TSCCTTTCTGCCTCAACTTTTGAGCAGAAGCAGATGGCTGACCTGGTCATCCAAAAATGATCCCTAGGGAATCAAGGGTATTCCTCTTGTGGCAGCCAGAATACTGAAAAACAGCTGGAATGTCAAAGAAACTGCGGGCTCTYCTAGTGCTTAGGATGGACTGGGAAAGACAGGTTTGCTTCCAGTCAATACCTGTTTGCATGGCAAAGACAATAACTGAGCTACATGAGAGAAGCACGTTCTTCATAATGGCTTTCCTTCCATTCCAGTGTCTACTTCTCCCAAGGATATTAACCCCATATAAGAAGGCTGTCAGTATCATTTGTATCAGACAGTGGTTAATAATATTTCTCTCTTCCTCCTTTCTCCACTGCCTGTTTTGCAACAGAAAATTAAATAAGATGATGGAGGGTAGGAGGAGTGTTAGAAAATATAGGTCTAGAGACAWTACGTTTTAGAGAAAGTGAATTTGAAGAGGAGGAAAACATAGTAAAAAACACAGATAGAAAGAAGTGGAGAGGGAGAAAAACCAGATGTGACAGAAGCCATAAAGATTTAGTAAATCAAGGCAGTAACATTTAATAAGAGTGTGTAATCACATATATACATACATACATACATGCTTGCTGGCTACCAAGTAGTAAGATACCTGTGGAAATATACCTGTGTAGCTCTTCCTTGACTCCTTGTGATATCAGCAAAGGTGATAGCAGTAAAAATGTAGAATAAATTCTGCARTATGGATGAATTCATGCTATGCATGTAAACAAAAATAATGGTTTCTAGATGTCTAGAGCTCTACATGCTCTACTTAAAAACAAGCAAAGACTAGTAAGTACTTTACTAAGATGGTTTTGAGTCATCAGCTTAAAAATTGAATGAATGTGCAATAGGTACATGCTAATATGTATTATTTAATAACATTTCATCATTTTTTTTAATGGCTATTGTTTTAGTGCTGATACAATGCTGTTCAAAAKGTATGTTTCAATTAAATTTCAGTYGTGTTCTTAAAAGGGTGGACTTTTGTGGTGTCCTTCACTAGAAAGCTAGTTGTGGTGGCAGCTTCCATGGACATTCAAGTTTTTAAATTTTAGAAAAGACACAGATATTTTGAAGATTTGTCATGAACTGGGTCAAGGTGTTTCTAACTTGGTATTCTCTTTCCAGTGAATGCCCAGAGAGTAAAATATTGCAGCTATGAAGTGATGTCTCCCCAAGTGTATCGACATGTGCACGATTTGTGACTTCGGGATTTTTGAGCCTAGGGCTATATCTGTCTGTRTTTTAAAAGGAAAACCAAAAAAGCAGTAACACAGATTTTAATTACCTTTTTCAGAAGGTATGCAACCTATGTACTTTTGCAGTCCTCAATTTAAGACAATTTAATCACAGACGTTGCCTATAATCCTAGTCATGGCTGGATAGTGGCTGTCGTAATTATTGGATGAATTTTCAAAAGTTGTTGGAAAAGTTTTTGATTGGTAAAGTATGTGCAAAATTGTCAGGATGCCTGTTTTTTAATCCACTACTACCTATTTTGCTATAAATGCAGGAGTGGAGTAGAATTTATTTTCCAGTAAAGATCAAAGCAGAAGTTTAGGAGAAAAAATGTCTAGCAACCAGAAGTTAAAATAGTAGCAACCAGGGACAGAAGAGAAATACTTGAGCAGACTCAGGTGTGAAATACTGTGCTCTTTTGCAAGATTTTGTCTTTGACACCAGTCTTTGGCTAGTGAGTACTTGTTCAAGTATTGTTCAAGTAGCTGGGAAGGTGGAGGAGTGTTTGCCTCCTATTTGGTGCAATGGATGTGGGGGTGTGGTATTTGTGTCTGTACCCACATGTGGGTGAAATGGAAAATGTGGCTYATGTCCTCTTCCCACTTCCCTTTAGGTAATACACGGTATAAATGTTTTAATCGTAACATTGATGAAGTTTTAAACTGCTTTGCTCTTTCTTTTGGTTTGTGTGTTTTGTTGTTTTGTTGGGGTTTTTTTTTAAGTGAAAAATTGTAAAAAAWTAAGTGTATCTGCTGAATCACTCTGCTGCAGGGAAAGATGAAAACAAAAGAACCTCTTCAGACTGCAGTGGTTCTGTGCAAAATGATTTACAGAGTTTTCTGTAACAGTTATGTTTAAAAGTCATTGTTAAATGGCCCTTAAAYTGACTTCCATCAAACCAGTGTTGGTATGGGAGAAAACAAGTACAGAACAAATTCTGACTTGATCCAGGTCTGTGATAGGATTATTCACTCCTTTTTCTGTGTCTGAGATTGCTCCAAACCACCTAAAATTGTCAAAAGGTAGTCAGATCCTAAGTGTCAAAAGTCCATGAAGCATTTGRTTTTGCTGTTGTCACTCTACATGGGTAATTATTATGAGCTTAATTATATGGGTTTGGAGAATGTTAATGTGCAAATTATACATGGGCGTTTACAGCAGTTGTTTTTTGTACTCATTCCTTCAATATTTATGCATAAGACCCATAGGTAGGGTTTATGGTTAACATGAGGTTAACATGAGTAGGGAATGTTGATTCCTCATTATTCCAAAGGAAGAGGAGCATTGAGAGAATCTCTTCTGCAGGGGTTGCAGAGCTGCACCGTGTTTCTGAGGAGCAGTCCATGCCGTCAGTCACAGCAGCTCCTTCTGTCATGACTGGGCAAAGCCAGTGTGTGCCTGGTGGCTTCATGCCCTGGGGTGAAGCTAGAGAGAATGGCAAGCTGTTTGCCAGGGACTTGTGCAGTAGGGCCAGTGCTGGCAAGAGGGAGAGTGCAGGAATACCGGAGGGAAAATAAAAGGAGTGTCAGACACTTACACCAGGGCTGGTGGGAGATACAAATGTTTAAATTGGCGTCGTGCCCTAATGTTAGCCAAAAGGTGCAGAGCCTTGTTAAATTGCTCAGTGGGAGTTCAGACCCAAGCATTGTGCAGTCTGGGGAGTGCAGGATACGCCAGACATRTACAATAGAGAATGATGGGAAAGCTATTCACAGGAATGCTTTCTTTTATAAATTGTATTTTTATCTGACAACTTTTTATTTTCTGTTATCAAARCTTGACTAAATGCTTCCCTCTTGAGGACTGCTTGAGGGAGTGAGACTGGGATTTAATTYGCTACAGATATCTTAGTCCCATTTTGTTTCGGGTAGCAGCTGCTGATCTGATAAAGGGACTCCATGGAAAAAATTACTTTTATTAAGTGTGCTGTGTATGTTTGATACATGCTTGAATTATTAATGGTGCTGCTTCCTACAATCTAACTGTGAAAAGAGAACTGCTCACAGGAGTTCTTGTAAAGTTGTGTAAAGAGGTGGTCTAAGAGGGTGAAACCTGGGAGCCTCAGGCCAAGATTGGTGTTTTTGTAGCAGGACAGTGTCTGGAGAGTACTTGTCTCCTGGTAGTACTCCTCCTGGTGTACTTTAAATGAATAGATACTCTATTTTTTAAATACAAAGATACGTTAATGTCTTTTTGAATAGAATATTTTTTATTTTAAAAAGCCCAAACCAATACCAAAATCCAACCTCAAGGAAGTATTTATCCTTAGCACCCTCTTCTGGGCGAGTTGATAGGTAAGAGTTCTTAAAATCTTTTACATTGTTTTTAATTATCTTGTCTCTCAAGTATTTCTGATGTTCTAGGAAGCCTACAGCTTTTGATAGAATAGAAATACGTTTTTAATACAACACCCACCGATAATGTTACCATGTGTAAAATAMATTTCAAAAATTGTCTTTGTTGTGGTGGATATATTGATTATTTTGTTTTTAATATTTTTCTTTGTAATAATTCACTTCATGCTAGATATTTTTCACATCACCATGAAGGTGCCACACATGTGGTATTTTACAATATTTTTGGCATAACCAATTAATATAGTGGAGGCTGAAATAAGCACTGCTTTAGAAACCCAAGCAGCTGCAAGACAGCTGGCGGTCATTTAATGGAAATACTGTAGACCTAATTTCCTTTTACTTTCTTGAAGCCATGGTAGCTTTCTAGCTGGCTGTCATTCCCTGTGTTTGAATGCCATTGGTGAGTATTGGAGCTACTGGAGAGAACAGCATAGAGCTGCTGGTTTCGTAGTTGTAACTGGAAAAGGTGCTCTTCATAAGCAATCACTTCAGGTATCTTTTGGTAAAGAAAGGGAAGCTTTTCCCATGAAACCATGGAAACTTGAACATTTGGACTTKACTTTGCCAAGTGTGCACCTTTCTGATCTGCCAGTTTGGTTACTATGTGGTCACTTGTTGGGAGTGCCCTGTGGACTTGTGTCTAACTGGAACTTTTAATCTGCATCTGGCAAACAGGGCCTTATGTGATGTTCTGTTTTGCTTCATGCTAAGACTTGAATTCTGCAYCCCACATTCTGGCTAAGAGAACTGTCCAAGAGAGAAGGTTTTTATTAAAAATAATATGTTTTCCCAGAAACTTCTTTGTTAAAGCCAACTCTTTTACATTCCTAGTAACTTACTTTTTTTCTCCTTTACGGGATTTGGTAATGCAATAAAAACAGTGTCTCCAGGAGTTTAGGGTCATTGGAGCCACGGAGCACTGATCTTTGCATACTTTACATTGAGAAAAAAGATGGATGGGATGTAGAATATGCTGGTRTGGTGAGAAGAGGTTGAAGGTGTGAAATACGAGTACTATTAAGGCTGTTCAGAGAAAGCTGGATGTATAGAAAGAAGAGAGATGTGCARGAGAGTAGATAAAGCAAATGACAGGCTGAGTGTTTAGGAAGAACTTCACCTAATTACTTACCTCCAGTGCCTTGTCCAGAGATGTTGCATTCAGGCTTGAACTTAACCTCCGTATTGAAGGCTGAGTGTGGGTTCTCGCCATGAATCTTCAGTCAGCTGSTGTGTCGCTGATCCTTACCTTTTTGAAGGACAAAAAATACCTTCTTCTGTAGCTGTCCTTGATGTTCTGAATAATGAACGTCCTGCTTTTAGGAGTCTGATTTTTAACCATTTCACTTTGTGCTCTTTCCTCAGAGGATGTGCTGAGTAAAGATGCTGGGGAGTGTGCAATATGCCTGGAAGAGCTGCAGCAAGGAGATACTATAGCACGGCTGCCTTGCCTCTGCATATATCATAAAGGGCAAGTATTCCTTAGGGTGAATATAAAATTCTAGAAGATAGCATTTATTGGTAACGCTTCTTAAGGTGTGCTTAAACGAATGTTAGAACTTAGTGGCTTTTTGCATTTAAAAACAAGCAACAAAGAAACAGCAGCAACAACCCTAAAGATGTTTGTTAAATTACATCTTTATGCATCTCCACCAAATGTATTTGAAGTTGAATTTCCCTTCTACGATCTTCTCAYTCTTGCAAAATCACCTGGATGAGGAAGGAGTGTGCCTCATGGCTAAGGAGTTTAGGTCGTGTAGGCTTAAGTTTTGTCAAATGCTAATAGAGKTGGGCAGGGAGAGGGGGAATGCTTTTTAAACCTGTTTCATATTTTGKTTTTATATGTGTCTGTACTTAACAGAAAGTAAAGTGTCAATGATATAAGCAAGATGAAAATGTTAGTAATGAATTAACCTGTGTATAAAATTTGTAAATTKTAAAATACTTCCTTAGAAAATTTTAACACTTAAAAAAATTTAGATTTTCAACAATGTTTAATACYCAAATATTACTGTGGTTTGAGGTTACTAATTTTTCTAGTGATGTTTGTATATGTATGAAATTCTTTGTATAATATAGAATTCTGCCAGCCATTGAAATTGAGAAACCAATTTATATTCATATCCTGCTGCTAGATTTTACTGATACTCATGTCAATTTTCATTTTTGTCTTGTATCCAACAGCTGCATAGAYGAATGGTTTGAAGTAAATAGATCTTGCCCAGAGCATCCATCAGATTAAGASAAGATTCATATTTTTAGGTAATGTTTATCAACATTTCAACAATAAATATCTTGATTATCTGAAATAACTATGCTAATTATTTTCATTTGTGAATTTGCTACTGTGCCTCAAAATTACAATATTAATAAGTAAGCATTGATGTATATTGCAATCTAGGTTAAAGGTTTCTACATACCTACKTGCTGTTACCTTTCCAGTTTTAGCACTGGAAAGTGGCAAGTCAGTGTCAAGAAAGCTTTAGCATAAACTTTTTAGGAGTATTTTTCCATAGAAATGAAACATAATTAAATTATTACAATTGTGTAATTTTGGATTGTTCCCTGAGTACTGGCATGTATTTCTGACAGAAAGCTTTTGGAATCATATGAAAAAGTTGAAGCTAAGTATTTTCAAAACTACTTTCATGTTAATGCATTCCAGAATGTTTAAAATATATAAATGAATAAAAAATGTTGACATGTTTCTMTCCATCCCATCTCACAGAGGTTCACATTTTTCCAGCTTACATTTTGTGTTAATGTTTGCAGATCTGCAATCTGTTCAAAGGATTGTTTTATTCTTAAATTGACTAACTCAAAAACTTTATSTTACATTAAACTACTGCCCCTAAGMCTTACAAAGAACACCAACAATCATCATAATTCATAGAGAAATAGAAATATCTGAAATTGTCTGGTAGCTGAGAGTTTGGTTTTGTTGTTCTGAGGGAATTTTTTAAAAACATCTGGAGAGTATTCATCACTACCTTTTATTTGTGCATTTGTTCCATGTTGCTTCATGTCTCTATGTTGCAGGGGTAGCAAAGAAAACCTCAAGCAAGGCATCCTGCTAAAGGGATAATTGTTTTAACCTCAGGGCAGTGTTAGCTGAAATTAATGAACAAACACATTTCCCATATTGCCTCCAATCTCTGGTTGTGGCAGAAGCCTGCATGCTGTTCATGAACATCTTTGTCTCTGTACATGCTCGTTGCTGTCYAACCTCATGTTAAATTCTATTTGCTTTTGTCACAGCAGGGATRGTGATAACTGGGGGCTTAGGAAAAAGGGGAAGGAAAACACAGTGGTTGTGCTCACRCTGTTCGATGCTGAAATGATGGTATTTTGTCTTCTGCTTTTCCAACAGCTGCTTCCACTGATCAGAAAACATAGGAGATGTGAGGTTCCCTTGCTGAACACAGCGTGCCTGGCTTGATACTTACAGTTCTTTGTGGCTGAAAAAGGCAAAGATGGACAGTGACACAGAGAAAGCATYGCAGACACCATTACTTGCCAGTAGTGCTCGGTATACCAAACACTCATGCAAAGGACACACAGGGATTTTGAAAATGCTGCACATCCTGTAACAATCGACTCCCCACAGACATTACTGACACTATTTTGTATCGAAGGCCAAAGTTCCTAATTTCAGCCTAACTTCTGGTTCTGTGAAGAAGCRAGTTATTGGACGTGTTTCCTACTGCCTCCAGTGGAAGCGGAGACGTTCGATACGTGCTGTCTGAGACCCTTGCAAGAGGACGGCCCCAGATTTGAGTGGGAACGTTTTCACCTTCTCGTTTGCTGAAGAACAGTAAATGGCAAACTAAATAAAATCTAACAGTGTGACCTTAATTTACTGAATTCACACCCTGTTTTACGTTCTTCACTTTTTTCAAGAACAGAAAACATAAACCACTCTGCGTAGGAATACTGTATTTCAAAGTTTTGTAACTAAACCTTTGTCACAATGCAGTCCAAAGAGTAAAAACAAGACAGGTAACTAATTTATACTGATCAAGCTATAGAGATTGTTGAAATCTGCACATTGTATTGCTATTTAAGTAACTAAAATGTCTCTTTTACTGCTTGTGAGTAAAAACAACAGAAAAAAATGCAGCAGAGCAAAATCTTACAGCTATGCAACTTTTTTTAAAATAGGAAAAAGAAAAGAATTACCAATTTTAAGTGCTGCCAGTTAAGGTAATTTGTTTAACGGGTATTTTTTTAAAGATGTTTCAGGTAATTATTTTATTGTACTACTCTCATCTCCAGGCTGCCTCCTGAGGTGTAAATGAATAACTGCAAATGTAGGCACAGCGAGAGGTTTTTATAGGCATGGGCAAGATAACATCGAGGTGGGATTTGTGTTTATTTTTTTCGAACATGCGCAAGTTCATGTTTCCTTGTTTGAATGGTTTTGGTGGCAGGATCTGTAGTACTTTGCATCTAAACCTTTGGTGTCTTCATGTGGAGACCAGCATTTGACAGTATGAGTTTTTGTTTTGTTTGGGCTTTTTCTTTCCTTTGTTTTTTTTAAAGCATCTGCATTTGTTTAATTTATTATTATTTTTCTGTATTATATTTGTATAACCAGAGCTCCACAAAACACAGGATGTCTCTGGGTGGGTACACCAAGTAAAACTGTGGATAAATGTTAGTTCCCACAAAGTATCACAGTTAAAATAAATAATTTTTTTWAAAAGACAGGGGRAAAAAAGAAGACAATGAACTGGAACAGATATCAGGGTTTAGAAGCATACTTTTTGTATCAAGAATTAATCATAGTAGTTTCTGAATTTCACAACACAGGGAAGAGTTTATGAATATTCATTAGCAACAGCATTCTTCGTAAGTTTCAATAGTTATAATAAGTTGCACAACACTTCAAATGTTTTTCTTGTACATAAATAATTCTGGTTTTCTTTTTTTGTTTGTTTTGTTTTGTTTAAGTACACATTTCTCTCTGTTGCTGCTGTGATTCATATCAAAAAGGGCAAAGAACAGGAGCAACTGCTGCTATCTGGAGAACAAGTGCAGTGCATGTTCCTAAACTCTCCCATCTTGCTTGAAGAGCAGTTCTTCCTTGGATAACGTTTTCTCCTGAATGTTGCTCTGTAAAATGCCTTTGTTACGCTGCAAATCTAAAGGAGTCCAAACTAGATAATTGTTGTAATTGCCARTGCGGTTTCTACACTTTTGGGCTTGCATCATTGGTTTCAGCTGAATCTGTAACTATGGGACCCTGTTGAATTCTCTTTTTCAGTGGAGCAGAATCATTTTGTCACACGTCCGATTCTGTAGTCACATCAAATGTACAGTCATTCCCTGTACAGAGTCCTTTTTCAATGAGAACATTTGTGTTGCCTTGTATTACCTTGGGGGAGGGAGGGAGGGGATGAGAAATTACAGCACCTGTAATGCTCAAATATTGGTGTTGCCTGCAGGCCCACTTTTCCAATGTTTTAAACCCCTGATATCTTCTGAAAGTACARCTTTTCCATTCGCTTTGATTTAATGTTTACTGTTGGCTCCATGCCTACAGAAACTCACCTGTAGTAATGTCAAGGGGGTAGGTCAGTGTTTTGATGTCCTGTCTCCAAAGTCAGAGAGAGCCTTTGGCTTGGGGGTTAAGTTGGTAAATATTACAAACATAAATCTGTTTGCAACTTGAACTCAGTTTTGGTAGTTGTTACTTCTAGTTCACTCACTGTTTCCTCAAAAACCCTAATTTTCTGTATTCAGATGGAAGTAGCTGATTTAAAGACCCAGCAGTTAGGACTGTTGTCCCATGTTTAGGAAAAATGTTGGAAAAGCACGTCACTAGCCATTGCACTGGTGATGTTTTTGCAGGCACGRGTCCATCGCTGCTTCCATAAGCACAATAGAGCAGCAATTCCTTGGATTATTTGAGGAACTGAAACAAGGTCAGCATTTAGTTTCTTGGTATCCATAAATCTCTTCTGAAAGACTATGGAAGGTTTTCTTGTATTGAAATCTGTAATGTAGACCAAGCCCGGAATGACCCTGGAAGCATGAGAGCAATGTTTGGGTTTGAAAACATGTGTGAAAACTCACCCAGGTAAGCTTTCTGTCACCATCAGCTGGTGATGACCATGCTGTAGGCACAGCTCTAGTCACAGACAACACCTTCATTTGGAATTTGTCCTCACAGGGATGCCAACTCATTGTGCTTCAGAAGGGAAAAATAAACACCAAACAAGTCCTGTGTCTCAATCAAGGAGCACCACACTTGTCCACAAGAAGCAATAACTTAAATTTCGGTGCGATATGCTTCTTTGCCTGTAAATATCTTGAGATTGCCAATTCTGTGCTGTTTCAGAGTATTTTTTGTCATCTTCCCTAAGTATGTAAAGGTGTGAAATAATTCCCATACTCAGGTCTGCCATAAACATGCTGCTTGCCAGCGGGGGAAGAGTAGATTTGACACTGTCTTGAAATGTGAGATTTTTCTGAACTTGTAACATACCTATGTCTCTTCAGTAGCAACTCGTGTTTTGAAGTTCATTGTGGAGGTGGCTGTGAGTTGGATTGTATATAACCATACCCCGTACAGTACCAAGAGATCAACACTGCTGTCGGCACAGGGCACCCTTTGTGCTGGCTCTTACAAGTCAGTATATCTATAATAATGCTTCCCTTTGCAAGGAGGTAGCTCATTTTCTTTCAGTGTGTACATTTGACAATGAGTTCAGTGGGATGTAAAAGCAAAAATATGAAGCACACCACAAATTATTGGCATTTTATTTTTGGGAGGGATAAAGCCGAAAACAGATGGTCTTATTTGTAGTCAAGTTAGCTGTCATAATAGAGGGTAAGCGTACCGAGGTATTTTGAAATGGAAAACATGTAGGCGACGTACAAAAACGTGGGTGGATACTTGTGACCTTGGGTTTTTCCCTGCTTCCCCCCTTATGACTGAATCTCAAGATTTATACATTTATCCTRCTACTTAATGTTAGGAGCACTGGCTTTTTAATTAAGCTTTTGCTGAAAGGCTGGAGAGCTGGTAAAATGGACTCCCAGGAGACTGAAATCTCAGCAAATATGGGAAAGATAATTTTTATTCAGAAATGTGGATCTTWGGTGTTTCTTTGGAGGGATATGTCTGATTCATGAGATATGCTTAAGAATGCTTTTAGTGTGCCACCTTTCCTGTGTGAGGGCTTTAGAAACTTGCTTAATTTYTTTTGTGTTCCACCAAAAGGAAGGAACTTGGCACCCGAATGTTACTGTTCTCTCTTCGTAAATGGTGGTAAAACTATGTTGGTTTTGATACAGGCAGTGTTCTCTCTGAGTTTCTGTGGCTTTTAGCCACTTTCCCATATTGAAAGAGAGTATTTTGTGCAGATTTGGTATTGCTGTGTTCCACGTACAAATTCTGCTGTGCAGTTGGGAGTTTCCTGCTGAGAGACTACCACAGGCAGACTCTGTGGTTGTGTAGAAGTGCTGCTCTGGGATTTTCCATCTCACCTTTGCTGGTGGAGGATTATTTCTTTTTTTGATGAGTGCTATATTTGATGATTCACTTTCCACCCTTCCAAGCTTAGGAGTCATTTTAGGATCAATTTCTTCTCCTCTGAAGACATGATATATGTTAGGCCATATTCCCATAAGGATAGGCTTTTCATTGGCATCAGCAAAAGTGATGTAAGAGGCAACTGGAAGAGATTGGTTTCCTACAATCCAGCCAAACATGACTTTTTTCCTGAAGCTCCTAGCACTTAATTTTTTGTCATTCAAAACACTTTGCGTGAAGAATTCATGACAGAAATACATCCAGGATTTGTTTCCTGAATGGAAAATTTGTGATGTTTCTCTTTTTCCACATAAGTTAACCTGCTTCTAATATCAAGTTGGAGGTGTTCTAGCCTGTTGGAGGTTAAAAAAAAAAAACAAACAAACCCAACCCAGTCTTTACTCTCAAATTACATTTGGCTATCTTACTCCACAGTCATAGGATGGGTTCCCAAGCTGTGTGTGTTCTGTAAAGTCATTTCTCAAGTAGTACATCAGAGCTGATGATAGGATAAGCTGTAAAATGACCTCACTATGGGGCATTATTAGCCGTTGAAGAATTGCTCAGGTAGACCACTGTAGGAATATCCTGCACCTGCAAAAGGCTGGACTTGGTTCTGTCTTACATCTAATAAGTCACCAGTATACAAGAACTAGAAGGCAGACAGCCCACTCACTGATCTTTCTGGCAGCTTTTAATCTATCTGTGTTTGTTTGAGAGACTTTTGCCCTTGGGTGTGCTTTGGCAAAGATTTTGCAATGATAAATAGGATTTGCTCGATTTTGGCAGAGTTTCAAGTGTAAGTTACCCGACATTACAAGAACATAATCTGTTGCTGAATCCTGTTCTTGTTTTCCCTCAAATCTGTCCCTTTTATTGCTAATTCGTTATATTTGATAGTAAACACTTCTCAACATGACTGGTCACAAGCTTTCAAGGTGTGAAATGCTAAGAGGAAGAGACATCAAAGCTTGATTTTGTGCTCTTTTATATATAAAGATGAGGCTGGAATATTCATTACCATACAGTGAAGAATTCTCCCCTAGCTGGTATTGCCAAAGCACTATAACTTTCATGGAAGAAGGGAGGTGGCTTAGCTCTAGAGGGAATGCTTTAATGAACTAYTTAAGAACTACTGGTAACAAATTTTAAGAGCTGCAGTGTGCACTGAATGAGTGGTGATCAGCGTTAACCTTATCCCTTGATCTCATTCTGGCTCTTCCTAACCCTTTGGCAGATAGCTGCTGGTGGGGAGCAGAGTGTGTATTTTTTTTTTTTATGCCTCTTCCTACAGAGCTAACCTTGCCCACAGTGAGTTAGAGGGAAGTCCATGCTAACTTCTGAAATGCCATCTGTTCGTGCAGTGGTAATGGAAAGATACCTTCCATCATTACCCGGAGCAGAAATTGGAATGTAATTTGCAATGTCTAATGTAAATGTAAAAACATATTTGTTTGTTTTGTTGTTTTGGTTTATTTTTTTTTAATTGAGCAATATGATTGCAAGTTGACTTAAGTTGTTCTGAGGTACTCTTTTCAGTGGTTTGCCAGTACATAATCACGAATGAAAATATTTTTTTATTGATTTTTAGGTTGTATGTTTAACATTCCATTCATGTAAAATATGTACAAATATATGTAATAAATCTTTTGAAGCACAGTTTTCCTCACACTTCCAGGTGATTTTTTTTTAAGTATTGGTGAAAGATGTATTGCTGTGGGACAGAACTTCTGTATGTCTGTGCTGCAGAGTGAGCTGGAGCAGGGGAAGAAAAAGCAATGCATGGTGTAGAGTCACAGCCGGAAAAGCAGATTTTAGAAGAAAAAAAAAGGAACTTGGGGCAAAGATGGTAGCAAACAGTCCTTTCTCAAAGCCTGGGGTCTGGGAACCTCCATCACAGGATCAAAGTAGCTTGACACCTGCTCTTTCCTTCAGTTTCCTCAAACCCAAATACCACTCCATCTTCCTCCCAAAACACTGCCTAGCTGCCTCTTTAAAACTGATTCCCTGTGACTTTGCAGTGCATGAATTTCTTTGTCCCAGATGGTTACCAGCACTCTCTTGTCTGTCCCTAAACAGCCGGAAGGAGGCTACTGTAACAGGCTCCTGCAGAGACGTTTTGCCAGAGGAGGGAATTTCTGCCCAGAGCCACTGAGGGTGTTAAATTTTTCACCAGTGGAGCATCCCTGCAAGGGCAGAGCACGCCGATGCTGACTGCCTGGAAACTTTCTCCTGGGGCAGTGGCTGCAGCCCTCCAAGTCAGGTCACCTGCAGCAGGTGGCTGTGGCTGGCATTACCACTCCAGATCTTCCTACCTGGCCTGGCAGCAGCTGGGGAGCTGCAGCCCTTGTGCTAAACGTGAAGTGAGACGAGGACAGGAGCACAGATGAGCAGTGCAGTTTTGGATAGTGTACGGGGTAAGTCTGCTGCGGGGAAAGTGTGATTTTACACCTCTCCCCCTGCACCAGTTGGGAGTGGAGCTGTGGGTGCTTTGAGCAACACCAAAGTGTATTTCACCAAGGTTATGTGGAGGATGTAGGGGGAAATGGAAGGAGTTCATTCTTGAGGCAGGAGATGCTGCTTCTTGTGTTGGTGTATTSCATCTCAACTCAACAGGGTGCTGCTCCTGGCCAGGGAGGCTGTGCAGGTATTCCACCTGCTGATGGAATGTGATGCACTGATTTGTGGCACTGGTTCCCCCACAKCTGCTTATCCATCTTTGCTTGCTCCACTTTTGGGACAAGCCTTTTGGTGTGGCTGGGGGTAGCTGAACCCCTCGCTAAAGCACAGTGACAGCTGGGCCAYCACAATTGTCTCTGTGGGAGATGATAGTTCTAATGTGCATGAATTATCCAAATCTGCACCCAGAAACAGTTGGATGTAATTACTGAGGAACATGTTCTATCTTTTGTTGGAGTAGCTTCCCCACCCCTCCCCACTTCCCCAGCCACTCCCCCCAGTCACCTTCTGGAAAGCCTGGATTCCTTCACTGCCGGTTATTTCTGTGTTTTTCTCCACAGTCTTGAGCTGTGTGATGGAAGCAATTGATAACTAGAGCTGAGCCTGGCTTGGCATCAGAAAAATCTGCTGGAAATCATTCCAGCTCAGTAGGTATAGGATTTCACAGGTGAAATTGAAATAAATGGCACCTGTTGGTATCATATCCTACGTTCCTCCCTATGGCTGGGACATGGGACATGCAACCTCTGCCCCAAGTTTCTTGTCCTGCAGGGTGAACTGCGTTCCTGTGCTGGCCCCAAGGTGTTCCTGGGAACTGTCAGCAATAGAAGGTGATGTTGCACATGTGTGTGGGCCCAGCTACCGCATGCTGTTGTTTGGTACAGCTGGTGGTCCATCTCCGCTTCTGGATGCCATGTTGTTTTCAGCAGAAAAAGGGAAAAACAACTCAGCCTGCACAAAAAGAGAGCAGGAAGGTTGGAAGAGTCCCCTGCAGCAGCTGAAGCTAAACAGGGAAGTTCCTTCCCTGCCTTTTGAGTGCCCTGTTCTGTAAGRTCTCGTTCTCCTTCTGTGGCTACCTGGACAATGTCTGTGCCCGGGTGGGGTGCAGGCTGGAGCCCGCTGGTGTCTGCAAACAGCCCCGGTGTGTTTGTTCAGTAGAGGAGGCTCCCGGCTCCATCCCACCCCGAAGGGAGAGGTGCTGGTGTCCGAAAAGCCAAACACGGCCATAGAGCACACTGCCTGTGCGGCGCTGTGCAGCTCATTCCGGTGTCTCCTCGCCAGCCGGCCACTGGGCAACGAGGAGCCTCGGCAAATGCCAAGAGAGATGGAGTTTTCCAGCCCTCATGGAATAAAGCATCTGTTTTCTGAGGGGGATGAGATCAGGGATGCGTGGTGGCAGGGAGGAGGGTTTGACATAAATAAATAATTGCATAAAGCCCATCCTCGGTTGACGCAAGATGACTCACTCCTCGTAAAAGCAAGAGCGTAGAGGAGGCAGATCTCCAGCGCAGGGACTCGTCCTCAGCTGAGGCCGCTGCAAAGTGCAGGTGCTCGGTGCCTCCCCGCATCTGGCCCGTTATCTTCGGAGTCATGTTTTATGTCGAGCTTCTGCCCTACTTTCGCTTCATCCTGTTTACAGATTGCTTTGTTTGAACACGCGTTTACATTTTAACAAACCCTCCCCCCGCCTTTCCCTCCCAGTTGTTTCTTTRAGCCGGCTTCAAACAGGAGGAAGAGGAAGCTGCCAGCCGTGTCCCCAGTGCCGTCGGGCTTTGTCCCTGACGGTCACTGACCACCGAGGGACTGTTCCCACCCCGGCTGCCCGTGGGGTCTCCTCACCCACTCCATCCCCCTGCCGAGCCGGGTGACTTCTCAAGGGAACCGCTTTCCTCTTCACAGATCACCCGGGCCAGGATTAACATCTGCTAACTCAGGATTAAAGTGTCTGGCAGGTAATGGGAGCATGAAGGCTTGACAGCTTCATTGGCTCCAGTCTGTGAGGTCCAAGTCCCCCGGCTTGCGAGGCTTTAGCAGCTAATTAAGCTGCTGCCTTCAGTGTGTAAGAGGAATCCCCAGGCGGGAGMGGCTGAGCACGATTTAGTTGTTTGCAAGGGTTTTGCTGGAGCTGGAGCTCTGGCTCTCCGCCCCATGGCAGCTTATACACCGGGCTGGTTTGCTCGGGCACAGCCGCTCGCTGCGGTGATGGCAGTGTCGCATCAGCCGTGTCACCAGCAGCCACCTCAAAGCCAGCTGTCTGTGTGGGAGCTGGCATGGGCAAGCGGGGCACCTTTCTCAGCCCCACAGGCACAATGTGCAGCCTCCYGGGGCTGTTGGGAGCCCCCCGCAGCAGCTGCGGCCCCGTGTGTGGCAGGAATTTATGCATTGCCACCCTAAAGGGCTGCTTGAGCCCTGCGGGCGCTGACCTGGAGGGGTGAGGTGGCAGCAGCGCTGCTCGGAACCCGCTGTTTTACASTGTGTCACCCAGGGACTCCCGTCTGCAAAGGGCACAGGGCATTTCCTGCTTTCCCAGAAAGAAGCAGGGACTGTAGCTTTTGCCTCTGGCTGAGTAAGACCAGATTTCATTCCTTAACCCACTTTCCGTGACCTCTCATGCCTTGATGCTCCAGAAGCTGCTGTTTTCTCTGAAACATCATCCCTGCTTCCACGTCCCCCTCTGTTCCCGAGGGCAGCTATTTCAAACCTCTGCCACTCACGCAATCAGCTCTCATTTATCTCTGGGAGAGGAGAAGGGACACTGGCTGACTCTCCCCTGCCGAGGTTCACAGCGATTTGATCGGCAATTTCCCAGGATGAAAGAGGGGACTCCCCCAGCACCTGCGGCACTCCCTGCATCCTCTCACCCTCTGTCCCCATTCCAGGAAAGGAGGAAGGACTTGCCACTGTTGCTACAGTGTTTTCAGAACGCTGACCTATCCCACAAAGCAACTGAGACCCCACCGCAAGACAGGAGAAACCTCCTCCTGTTCGTAAATTTGGAGTCGCTGGGCGCAGCTGGCAGCTCCCAGCCTGGCCTCCCTTTCCATCTAGCACAATCCTGCTGGTTTGTTTCTACCCTCTAAAACAGCAGTTAAGGCCTCTGCGTACAGCTCCAGCGTTTTCCTGCCCAGATTACTCGTTCCATCAGCTGAAACCCGAGTGGTCTCTGCAGTGACCTCTCCTTCTTCATGGCAGACCCATCCCTCGCTTGCGTTCACCCGGTTCTGGCACCTTCGCTCCTGACTGCAGACATTTGCACAGCTTTGCAATGGACTCCTGGTTTTGTCTGCTGAACCGAGGTGAGGGATCAGAAGGAAGCTACACAAAAGCAGGCATGGGTGTCTTGCTGTGTTTCAGCATCAGAGCTGCTCCCTCGGCATGGGGTGGTGGGATTGGAGTCCTGTGCTGGCTATGGCTCAAGAGCAAAGGCTGCACGGCCTTGCACCACCCTGCAAGTCATGAGCTGGGGTCTGACACCAAGTGAGCCCCACCAGRCTCAGGAAAGCGCCCTTTCCTGAAGAGCTGGCAGTGTGTGACGGGAGCAGGGCTGCCCTGTGCCACAGGAGGGYTGTGGTATCATCTGGCACCAGCAGACACACACAGCTTGCACCAGCCAGACACCAGTGGTAACACCTTATGCTGGAAAGTCTCTGTTCCCAGCAGCAGCAGGTGGAAATGCAAAGAGCTCCTGCAGTCAGTGAGGCTGCAGCACATCCCTGAGCTACCATCGTGCTTCCCCTCGCTGCCCCTGCCTGGATTGGCTGCTGGAAGGAGCCCTCCTGGGCAGAGGCAGCTGTGAAAGGCCTTCTCCAGCTGTGGCAGCTCCTCTCTTGTCTGCAGCCWGAATGAGCTGGGGTGCCACTGTCCCTTCGTGATCCAGCCAAGAGCCTGCTTGACACGGCTTCAGCAAAGCCCGAGCGCTTGCAGGCAGCTTGTTCTTTAAAAAGCTGTTTATTATCACAGTGGACGAGTGGAAAAACATGACGCAGTGTACAGAGAAGGCTTCAGCAAAYTACAAACAAGTCTTAAAAAAGTTACAGTTGTCTCTGAACTTGAGTAAACAAGGCTCTCACTGCAAGCTGCAGAAGTGTTGCTCCAATGCACCTTACAGAAGGTTGGTAAGACCACAAAGAGCTCAAGCCAGAAATGCTGTGCTGACAAACAAGGGACGTCTGGCTGCTCCCAGAGCAACACCCGGTTTGCCCAGCATGGCTGGCAGAGTTGTG